CCAGGCTCCCTCCCTCTCTTTCTAGCAGCTGAGTTCTTGGATAAAATCATTTTGTAGGGTATGAGCAATGCAGTTCTGAAAATAGCATCATTGTAAGATTAAAGATGGCAAGAACCCTAAACCACTGATTTATTTCAATGAAAATCTCTTTCTGATCAGTGACTATGCTGCAAGTTTTCAGTTTAGATTTTCATACCTAATAAAATGTAACAGCTGTAGGTTTGAAAACCTTAGAAGAAAAAACCATGGGAATGGAGAGGAGAGGGGACATCAAAACACTAACAAGAGGGAAAGAAATAAAACCAAAATACCAAGAAACTCCCATTCACTGATAATAAATATAATAAATGGAATCATTTATCACCATCATGCACACCGATATACATACACACACAAAAGGAAAACAACACTGGTCACCAAGCTATTTTGCACTCTGCTTTAAATTTATTTCTACTAGACATACATTCATAAGACTGTGTTTTAGGCACCTGTGGTTTTACACATCTTGTGTAGTGTTTGGCACTCAGACACATGATGCTGAGAACACACCAAGAGGTGATACTTCACTTCTCTGTTTCTAAGTGCATTACATCTTTTGGCTCCCTCTCTCTGTTCCATTTACATGAAGGCTCACGTCAGTGGGGTATTTTTTATAGCAGAGAGTATTTCTGAATATACCAAAACAATGCTATTTTCAAAAGTGCTAGTACTTGATATATTACAACTAGTTTCAAAGCTAAATAGGATATTTTGCTATCAAAGATTTTTTTTAATAAAAGGATCAAATAATCATTATACTGGAAGTATCAAAATAAAGTATGTACGTTTATCAGCACATTTAAAATACACACCGTGAATGTCTTCTGTCCACCTTTTGTCACTAATCATTTAATACAGAAAGTGATACAGAATATCAAGTCTAGCCTGTATAGTTATTAATGGTAGAATTACACTTGGTAGGACCATGCACAAAAACAAAAAGATAAAGATCCCAATCCTTTCATGTGTGTCATCCTTACTTCAATGAGTAATCCTAATGACATAAAAGAGAGAAAGGGTGATTCACATGAGTAAGTGTTTGCAGGATTAGACCTTTATTTACTAAATGTTTGCTTGTCTATAAGTATATGCACAATTTCCTTGTTATTCTCGCATATTTTACATATTCTGAATAATATTAATAAATCTTATAACTCATTCCAAGTGACAAAGTCTGTCTCGGTTATGTCATGAACTTATACTTCTTATTTTAAAATCCAAACATTAGGAGAGAGTCATTTTAAAAAAAAGAGAGAACTAAAGACAGAAAATGTTTTAAAGGATTTGATAGAGCCAAACTATGAGCCCAATCCTGCAAATACATACACAAAAGCAGTCCTATTGAATTTAATAGGATCCAATCCTAAATTTGTCAAACACTTAACTGTTAAGTTTTAAATTGTGTAACAAAATATCCAAGTTAGTCCTCTCAAAGCATGGAGTACATATTTACATTTTATGTTAATCAGTGTTATAGTAAATATCAGCACTACTGTAATTACTGCTTTTTAGTTGATATCAAAAGTACAACTGTTTTAAAAAAAATCTGAAATTAAAATGGCTTATTATGTTTTTATTACTGTTATTTTATTCATATAGCACCAATAGTGTGCTAGGTTGTCCTTATAAATAAAATTAAAAAATACATCTAACATTAAAATATTGTATCTAGATATATAGAGACATTAAATGTACATATAAGACTAGAAAGAAAGAAATGCATTGTGTACTTTTACCAGCAGTTCAGTTACAAGTATGATAGGTCTGCCATATAAAAAAAATATTCTCATACAAGTGCAAAATGTGTGCAATGTTGCACATATGACTGAATTACTGGAAGTCAAAACATAAGAGACCACTGTATATTTGAGTGCACTGTATAATTTAGTGCATTGTATAATTCCTTAATATTTTGACACAGTGAAAATGATATATTTAACTAAATGTGCAATATATATTGATCAGTTGTCAAACCTTATATCAAAAGATCAAGTTATATCCATCAATATGCCTGCATATCCCAACACAGAAAATCTTCAATCTGATTAAAATATTCTAACGTTGGCTGCTTGCAGCACTATGTGACTATAACATATTTTCTGCTTTTGAATGAACAGCTCAGGTTTCTATTTCATTCAGTATAGATGTTTCTAATAAGCTGACTCTCCCTATTTTGCTGGGTAAACATATCAAAGCCAAAGTCGTGAAATTGATCAAATGCCTGAGATTGTATCTAAGAGACACTAGTGAAAGCTTTTGAGTTTTTCTTTACCAAAAAAAGATATATTTTTATATCACTGTATTGATTACATGAATTTCTTGAGTTCTGCAGGAAAGATACATCTCATAAGAATGACATTAACTGATGCAAAATTCACAGGATAATGGGGTGGGAAACAATTGTTGATAAAATCAACAACTTTGTAGCCTTGTATATGCTAATTTTTAAATTACAATACACCCAACCAAGCAATATTCAAATGCCGCCTAACACCAACTTTTCAAATAAATGATAAAAGAGAGGAGTGCATATTAAAAATATTGGGAAAACACTTTTAGATGAATGTGACATATCAGGCATTAAACAGACTTTGGTTTTCAACTATTAGTATCCCTTTCATTTCTTCCCACCCCCTCAGTCTTTTTTCTATTTGTTACTACTGGTATTTACATCTAAAATGATTTACACTCACAGACATTTTCACTTGTGTCATTTTCACTTTGTTCTTCCCCATTTACACTATACACTGGTGAGCAAAACATCATTAAACTCGCGGTTGTTAAAAGCAGTATCCTAGCATTGTTTTCGGCTTCACCTGTTACATCATTACTCTTTGCAAAACAAGACCTCCTACCAGGCTGCTGAACTGTCTCCTAAATGAAATGAGACTTATTTGCTCTTTGATTTCATTTAAGAGAGGAAATACATTATTATGAAGGATAGGCCGACACTGTGGATTCTTTCTACAATATTTCAATGGCTTGATTTAAAAAAAACAGACAGTAAGTAGATTGTGGAGAACATATAAATGCTGTTAACCAAGAGAAAAGATATTTTTATTGTGCATTCCTTATCATTAAAGTTCTTTGATAAACTAATACCTTATTCTGCTGATGTTTGCTCTTATCATCATGAATAGTAAGAGTAACTGTGACTGTAAGAAGCAAATATGAACTGAGTGGACTCCTAAGATTTTTAAAAAAGTATCTCAAAGTAAAAAGAGACCCATAATTCTACTCGGAAATTATAGTATCTGCTTTCCGTCGTGTTTGTTTCCATTTCTTTTTCTGATATGAATTAGATAAATTTAAGGAGAAGATCAATTGTGAATAATTGTATATAACATGATTTATCAATTCACTAAGAGATAGTCTTTTGATCTAGGATGGTGAAGTCTAAGAGTAGCAAGGATTTAAAAGACGGGTATCCTAGCATTATTTTTTAGTTAACTCTTCTTGTTTTACACAGCACATCTTTGTAACTCTTTCAGTCCAAGAAAATAGAAGTAAATGAAAATGAAAAGGCAAGGCTTCATTTATGCAATCTAAAAGATATTAAGTGGTTACGCAGTTATCTTTCTTAATCCCTTTCTTTCTTGTACCAGTGTGTGCATCCTTTTAGTCTTGCTCCAATACATAATAGAACCAACACAGAGAACTGAAACCAATTCTAACACACCAGCAGCACTAATTGGTGAAAAAGCACTACTGGTAATCACTGAAATCTCCTGTACAGAATGAGCCAGGACAATAAATTCTGCCCAGCATCAAACAACACAGAAAACTACCCTTAGCTTTGTTTTTCTTGTGTAAAATGCATGTAAAGTGAGCTATCCACATAAAGTTATCTAATGACAGGTTTTAACCCAGGAACTAAAGTAAGTGCTTCTAAAAAGAAAATGTGGTCATTAGTCCACATTGTTTCTTATCCTATAAGTGTCTGACTGAAACTAAAATATAACATATTGGGCTATTCCCCCCCCCCCCGCCTTTCTTGTTTTGCATGCTTTTCATTATGTGATCCTAGCTTTGTTCAGGGATACACTTTCATGTTAATAACTGCGCAACGCTTTAAAATTTTCTATTACATCCATGCAAAACAGCAACATAAAACAGCTATTACTAAGAATATTTCTCTTGAAGATGCAAAGGTGAATCCCCTTAAGTAATTATTGTGATGGCTAATGTTTGAGAGTCTGCATGAAAACACGGCTACTTTACTTATGTTGCTTTAAACATGCAAAAAAGTCTGCTTTTGCACATGCATGCGCACACACAAAACCACACGAACAAAACAAACCCTGGAACTGTCAAAATATTAATGTTGTGAACTGGAGGAAATCCAAGTAGAAATGAGCGCGTACATACATTTAAAATTTTCATCCAAAAATTATAACAACAACTGTCTTGGAAACATGCATGGAAAAGGCAAGGACATGTATTTCATGCATCTTTTATTTTAAAAAGAAAAAAAGAAATTGCTACAGTATTTTTAAAAATAGAAAGTGTTAAAATTCCAGTCACACAGAAATAACCTTTGAAGCTGGTGGGGGCGGGGAGAGGGGAATGTGTGCAACTAGAAACTTTCCTCTTAGCACAGCTAAACTGCTGGGGGTATATTTAGAGACTGGGATCTGCTCTGGAGTGTTGCTCTCATGTAAATCCCTTGACTCAAAAGTATAGTACTTGGCTTCCCCTGGTCTTGCTCTCGCTCTTCTCAGTGACCATCTATTGGAGAGCCTGGATCGATAAAACAAAAGCAGCCAAAATCCTGCAGTGTACCCCAGTTACCACTTTATGATCAGGGCTCCCCCACTCCCCAGGAAGGAGAACTCTCCTGCAAATTACAATCGCCACCCTCTCCCAAACACACACACACTTTCCCAGTGAAACGCTTTCCTTCCCCACCACCCAATTTAAAACCAAAAACCAGTCCAGATCCAAACTCAGGTGGGACTTACGTTGTGGCAGAAGGGAAGGGTCCTTCGGAGGACAGGTTCATCACCAGGGACTGGAAAAGTGTCAGACTAAAGACTAGCAGCCAGCCAGCAGCCATCTTCCTGATCGAAGATCGATCCCCCCCAGTCACGGAGACGGAACAAATAATAAAATTAAATGAGTAGGGGATTGTTTTGCTTTTTAAAGTGTCCTCCCTTCTCCGAGGAGCCGCCCAGCGATGGGCACAGCAGCAGGGACCGGAGCTGGGGGTGGGGAGGAGACCGATTGAGATCTGTGGGTGGAGCGGGGGATCCAGGGAGATACTCTGACTCGCCGCTACTCCAGCGGCAGCTCCGGCTCCATCCGATCCGCCGCCATCAGGGCTACTTTTGGAACAGATCTCTGCTCGCTCTGGCGTGCCCGGCTCGCTCCTTCCCTGATTTATTCCCGATTGCGGAGGAGGGGAGGGGAAGGGAGAGGCGGAGGAGGCGGCGGCGGGCGTGGGGGTGTTGGAGGGGGTGAGTTGTGGGAAGCAGCAGAGGCTGGGAGATTTCTCCTTTGCTTCCCTGCTACGAGCAAGAAGAAAAGGGAGCTGGGGAAAGTCACAGCGGGGGAGGGTGTTAGATGAGCCTCGGCGAGCCGCTTTCCATACAAGGAATAGGAGGAACTCCCAAAGTCAGCAGCTGATCTCCCGAGCTTGGGGGGGGGGTTTAGCCCCAGCCCGCAGCCAGCCACATGCTAGAAAGCCCTGCACAAGGCAGCCTCGCAGGCCAGGCTCCGAACCGGCCCGGATTTGCTCCGCAACGCACTTTGTGTTTTGTTGTATTGACTGGCCCTGTGCTGGAGCCTAGGCAGCCTGGGAACTGGAGCGCAGAATCAAGCGAGACTCCGGCTCGCCGCCTGGTTCGAAAGCCTCTCCGGGCTTGTCGCTAGCGGCCCCCTGGGCATGTGCGGCTGGGTCTCCGCACCTCCCGGGCGGCCCCCTGGGCATGAGCGGCTGGGTCTCCTCACCCTCCGGGCGGCCCCTGGGCATGAGCGGCTGGATCTCTGCACCTCCCGGGCGGCCCCCTGGATCTGATTCTCCCAGGCAGCCCTTGTGAGGGTGATTCCCCCTCTCAAGCTTGCCTTCAGGGAACCACGCAAGTTAGGCTAGTACTAGGCAGGCTGCCCCCTTACTTAACAGCTTCCATTTAGGCTCCCCGTGGAAGTTGGCCTGGTTTTTAAAAGTGCTCTGCTCAGCATTCACCAGCTCCCCTGGGGGGCTCTTTGAAAATCGGTTTCCAATTATGGGTGCTAAGCGCGGCACTTTTGACAACCTGCCCCCTTCCACTTATTTCCTTCCCAGGACAAGACCAGATTTTAGCAGTGTGTTCGCCACGTTTTAAGCATGCAGTGTTGTAAGCTTGTGGGTCCCGGGATATTAGAGACACAAGGTGAGCGAGGTAATATATTTTATTGGACCAACTTCTGTTAGTGAGAGAGCCAAGCTTGCCAGCTACACAGAACCCAGACCTGAAGAAGAGCTCAGTGTAAGGTCAAAAGCGTGTCTCTCTTACCAGCAGAAGTTGATCCAATAAAAGATAATACCCCATCCACCTTGCCTCACCACATTTTAACTCAGAGATCATCTTAGGGCCCAGGGTATAGGCAACTGGGAGCTAGGAAGGGGCTTTATCCCTACTAAAAAATTAGGGATTTAATTATTAAATGAAGAAAACACAGTTTGGAATAGAAGCTTGTTTATTCCGCTGTATTACAAGCAGACAAATTTAGTCATCATAAAATATTACTCATTAAAGTGAGATTCAACAGTTATTTCTCTACCCCCCATTCAAATGCCCCTGTAGTAGCCACCACCTCTTCCACTCACAATCATGCAGACCAGCCCCTCCCACAGTCCCCACTACCGCATTCATCATCAATCACATCCCCATGGAAACTACAATTGGTTTACAAGGTAAAGGAAGAGTGGGGAAATATGTAATGGATATTTAATAGAGCAGGTAGAAGAACAATGACAATTATTTTTAATTTCATCAAATTAAAAAAAACAATCCAACACATAGACCTGAGGAGGCAGAGCTAGCAACATCTATCTTCAGTATTTATATGGCTCCCATTACCTGAGCAACTTAGAATCTATTTATCTCACTATACCCCTATGAAGTTGGGCAGTACTGTTATCTCCATTTTACAGCTAGGAAACTGAGGCACAGAGAGACTAAGCAGCATACCCAAGATCACACAGGAAGTCTGTGACAAATCACAGAATTAAACCCAGCTGTCCCAGATCACAGCCCTGTGCCCTAACCACCAGACCATCCTTCTACTCATGCAATCAGCCAGCTCTCTACACGACTCGCAGCAAATACTCCACAGACCACACTTGGAGAATCTCTGCTGTACAGTGCATTTGTAGTGCTATTTACCTTGTCTATATGTGTCATGCATCCGTATGGTACCTGAAAGTTTTATCCAGTCTCATTTTAATTATTCTAATCTAATGGAGTTTAGTTCCACCTATTCCTTGCTTCTGTTGAACATAGTCACTATTAACTCATTGGATTTGCTAAACTGGCACATCCCCACCCCTGAGACTTCCCTCCTGTCTAGCCAGGACTCCATTCCATTTAGCATTATGGGAAGAGCAGGGTGGTCATAACACCTTGGTCACAAAGACTGTTTCAAAGCCACCTTAGCATTGATGTAGAACTCTCAGCCATCTTCAGTTTTGTTGAGTCTCATGATATTTGGTGTTTTTCTCAAGAACCCAACTCCTGGAGTCATGTGACTATGTGAGCATCTCACCTTCCACTTAAAAAAAAAGTGAAGTTTTTAGTCCTTATAATTGCAGAGAAAAGCTTGAAAATGTGACCCCCATCAGGCACAAACACTAGAAGAAGAAAAAAAAACCATCAAAATTACATTTATAATAAGATGATTTTTAAGCCAATCTCCTGATTTTTGGAGCCCCTGACTCATAATTTTTGAACACTTGGGGTTAGCAATGCTGACGTGAGAGAGACAAATGAGCAACTAAGGCAAAAGGAGGAATGATAGTGCAAACAAAGCCAGAAGCATAAAGTGACATGGGATTAATTTCTTCCACATTAACATCATATTCTTAAGCTTTCTGATGCTGCATTTGTCCTCTGTGCAGCAACTGTAAAAATTGTTAATTATAGTAATGGTAATACAAATAGCTTCCAGGATCAGACCCTGACCCCACTATAATAGTGTAATTTGTTCTGTGCTTGTACAGGGCCCAGCACACTGGTCCATGACCAGAGCTCCTAGGTGCTATTGCATTATAAATAAATAATAATCAAAGTAGTAAACAACTGGAAAGAATACAAGTAGAATTATTATTGCTCTCTCTAATACAGTAATACCCCAAAGGCTCCAATCAGCATCCAGATCCATTCTAAGCCCTGTACAAACACCTAGCAAGACACTCACCCTGAAGAGATTACAAGCTAAGGCCCCCTTCTGCAATGAATTCCATACAGGCGGAAAGGTTTGCATAAAGCTCATTGCAGGATAGAGGCCAAAGATAGACTAAGGCCCCGATCCGATATCTGACTGCACATAAGGGTCAGGACATAAGGGTTGTTGAAATGGACACAACACAGAAGCATGGCAGTCAGGGTGATGACCGGAATATGCCCTAATAGCTCCCTGATTATATACATATATCAAACTGGGGTGGGGGAAGGTATTTCTTTCCTTTTATTTATAGAAGATTCTTTTATTTTCTTTTTGCCTTGCCAAGGTATGGGAAGAGATGGAAATGGCAGGGATGGGATGAGTTAGCAGGGGTGAATCAGAAAGAGGGGAGGTGAAGGGACGGGAAGCATGGTGTCCATCGCCATCTGGTAGCAGAGGGAGGCTTTGGAAGCCCTGCACAGTCAGGAGCTGAACAGATGCCATTAGGCTGAAATGGAGGCACATAGCGATTTAGTATTTACCTCTCTGTTTCAGTGGAAGAGGGAAGAGAGGGGGGTGCCCCTTCTGGATCAGAAAGTGGGTGCTGCTCCCAGACTGTATGGGTCCCTCCAAGAGATGCAGGAGTCTATATGGAGAAGCAGCGTATCTGTGTCAGCTCTGGGGGTCTCTGCTCCCCCACTCCTGCTCCCAGGCACTTTGGCTCCATTAACACTCTGAGGCTGGATATTTTTCATGCTCCTCCATGTTAGAGAAAACAAGTAGGCAGCAGCAGCTGGGGGCAGCTCCGGAAGAGTAGAATTACTCAAGTGAACTCTTAGCTGTGTTGATCAGTGGAACCAAGGCTGTGCCTATTTTCCACTCTCCTGCTCCAGCGGGAGTAAACATGAATGTAGCACCATCTTACTTCTTTGCCCCCAGACCTAAAGCCTGGCTAGTCCATGCAGGGGTCCAGGCATGGGGCTAATGGTTTAAATCACAATCTAGCTTCAAAGCTGATTAAGTCTGAGGCCTCCCAACTTTGGCTGTGTCACTATAAGGGCAGGTTTCTATTATAACCTGATTATAAATATGTACTCTGTGGTGAAATTCATTGAAGGTTAGAACTAGGCAGAGCTGTGTAGGGTGCTCACAAAACAGGAACAGCTTGGTGGGCTTGAGGTTTCATTACAAACTTGAACCCCATAATTGCAACAAGCTCCATACAGGCAGACCTCTGTGCCTGTGCATAGCCCCATTGGGGGTGTGTGTGCAGGGGTCCACCCACATGGAGCTCACCATAAGGATCAGAGCCATGGCATTCCACCCAGATTCAGCCTGAAAACCTTGCAACATTTACAACCATACTTGGCACTGAGCCCAGTGTTGGAGAAACCTGAAGTTGAGTCATGGTTTTGCTTCAAAACCAAATGAAGCTTGGTGGTATATTTTGAATTCTTGTATTTTTTCTGAATCTGAAAATCAGGAGGCAAGATCCACCCTGACTCAGAGTGAATGATGCGTTTGCACAAACTCCAGGAGTGACTGATATTTAAAACCTTCCAACTATTTATTTCACTTGTGTTATTAAATAAATAACTGTTTGTGCTACAAATTATGGGGATGCAAAATACTTATCAATTTAGGGCCTGATCTTGAAACGCTGATGCACATGAGTAATTCTGCTCAGGCGAGTTCCCACTGAGTTTGATGGGCAGGCTTGGGGGGACTTAAACAGGAGCACCACCAGCTTTTTTGGCGCCTTAGGCAGCGGAAGGTCCCGTCCCCGAAATGCCACCCCTGACAGAGATGGCAGAACGTCCCGCCCCCGAAATGCCGCCCCCGACAGAGGCGGCGGAAGATCCGGCCTCCGCGGTCGCCACCCCCCAAATGTTAGCGCCCTAGGCGACTGCCTAGGTCGCCTAATGGGTTCGCCAGCCCTGGACTTAAGTTGCTTGCACATAAGTTTTTGCAGGATTGAAGTCTTAGATATTTCTTCATGCTCTTGCAGTCTAAAAACAAGATTTTGTTTTTAGCATGAACTTTTCAAAAGTCAGATGCTTTCTGTATGCATTCCTGTGTCAAGTCATGTTTTATTGTTTCAAAGATCCTAAAAAAATCTTACTTTATGTAAGTCTTCACACCACAAGCCAAACAAATTGGAGAAAG